TTCCTCTCTGCCTGGGTGATGACTGCAGATTGAAACTTCCCTCTTCCCAGAATTCTTATTGCCCTGCCTCTACTTCTTGCCTGGCTACTAGTCAATCAGTGTTTATTTAAAATACAAGTGGCAGGGTACAGACCATTGTCCCACAGCATAAAGCCCATGAGACAGCACCGAAGGTCGTGAGTCATCAGGGAAGTCAAAACTATATACCACTGCTTATCCATCAGAACAGCTGGAAGTAAAATGATTTACGTGTCAGCAAAGACAAGCGATGTTAAAGAACACAAAATGATGTGAACACTGAGAGAAGCACTGACCACTGCCTACAAATTTACAGTTATATTGCTTCACTCTTACCAACTTTACTACTGTGTGATATTTGGTTTGTGATTTAACAAATAAAGCTTGCAGAGCTAAGTCACTAGATGCCATGCAGTGGTGGCGCATACCTTTAACCCCAGCGCTAGAGAGGTGGAGACAGGAAGGGATATGGCTGGGTGGAGAGAGGAATATAAGGCAGAAGGAGTCAGGAGCTCAATGCAGTCTGAGGTTGCAGTCTAGGCAGTCAGTCTGAGGAGGCAGTCTGGGGACAGGATAGCTCCTTGGTCTAAGCATTGGTAGAGGTAAGAATTCTAGTGGCTGGCCGCTCTGCTTTTCTGATCCTTCAGCTTTTCACCCCCCATAGCTAACTCTAAGTTTTTATTATTAAGAATAATTAGAATTCATGCTACATACTACTAGGTATACAAATGGAAATTTATGTCTACAAAGAGATTTGTGCATGAAAATTCATAGCAGCTTTAGTCATAATGGTCAAAAACTAGAACTACCCAAATGTCAATCAACAGGTAAATAGCATATCCATACAAAGAAAAAAAAAGAACAGATAAAAGATGTGAGAGACATACACTATTCTACATTAGAAATCAAATCAACAGCTACACTAGAAATGGTAGAAATATTCTTGATTTTTTTTTTTGTGGTTACAAATGTAACATTTGCCAAAACTTAAATATGCAACTTTATATCCAATATCTGTATACTTCATTGCCTATATATAAGATGTCAATAAAATTGACTTGGGGTTAGAATTTGAAAACTAGATACTGATACATACACCCCAAATGTTTACCAACAGGAAACTGCCTACATTAATTAGGTTATCTACAACAAATCCTCTCCAACAAAAACTAATCCAAGTGTTGATATGGAAAAGTCCTTTAGGTACTGTGTAGTTTGAATGAGAATGCCACCCCCCCCACACACACACACACAACACTCATATTATGTGAATGCATTCTTAGTTGCCAGTTAGTGGAACTATCTGGGAAAGATTAGGAGGTATAGCCTTGTTGGAGCAGGTGTGGCCTTGTTGGAGAAGGTATGTGACTGGGAGTGGGCTTTGAGGTTTCAAAAGCCCACACGAGGACCAGTCTTGCTCTTTTTCTGCCTGCAACTTGTGGATCAGCTACTGCTCCTATGTCATTCCTCATCATGATGTTCATGGACTCAGCCTCCAAAACTGTAAACAAACTTCCAATTAAAGACTTTTTTATAAGTAGCCTTAGTCATGATATCTCTTCACAGCAACAGAACAGTAACTAAAACAGATACACAGGTTAAAAAACAAATGCATGGGGCTGGGGAGATGGCTCAGTGGTTTAGAGCACTGACTGCTTCTTCCAGAGGATCCAGGTTCAATTCCCAGCACCCACATGGCAGTTCACAACTGTCTGTAACTCCAGTACCAGAGGGTCTGACACCTTCATACCAACACACATAAAATAAAGTTAAATAAAAAAAAATTTTTTTTAAATGCATGGGCCAGGCTGGTGGTGCACACCTTTAATTCTAGTACTAGGGAGGCAGAGAAAGGGTGATTTCTGTGAGTTCAAGGCCAGCCTGATCTACATAGTGAGTTTCAGATCAGCCAATGCTTCATAGTGAAACCCTGTCTCAAAACAACAAAACAAAGAGCAAGCAAAACAAAAAAGCAATGCAGGGGATGAAGAGATGGCTCAGTGATTAATTGTAAAGGCTTACAGAGGATTCAAGTTAGGTTCACAGCACCACATCAGGTGGCTCTTCACTGCCTGTAACTCTAGTTCAAGGAGATCCAACACCTAGCGTCCACAGGCACCTGGTGTGAGTTACCTACCAAGACAGATTTCCTGGATTCTGCATAGTTCTCTGGCCATTTTACCCTTTTTCTTTTTTCTTTCTTTCTTAGGTTTTTTCGAGACAGGGTTTCTAGGACAGCTCTGGCTGTCCTAGAACTAGCTCTGTCTTGAACTCATAGATGTACCTGCCTCTGCCTTCCAAGTTCTGGGGTTAAAAGTGTGAGCCTCCACCCAGCATATAATTCTCATTACCCTTATCACCACTATTCTGGTCCTAGTGTGCTCCTTGTCTTAATTAGAACATCTTCCTTAACTATGCCTCTCAATCCTACCTTTGTCCTCCAGCGCTGCTTTCTCAACAGACCTGTCAGAATGGCCCAATTAACTTGCATTATATGTCGCTTCTTCTCCAATAATTTCTCATCTCAGAACAAAAATCAAACTTCATTCTAAGACCATCAAAGCTGGAATATGATCGGCCCACTAATCATCCAACCACTGTCCCCAAACATGCCAGACATAGTCCTACCTCAAGAGAATGCTCTCCCTGTAGACGTCGCCTGGCCCTCGCCCCACTGCACTCCTGGCCTTTACTCACCTTGATGACACTATCTCTGGCCTTCATACCAAAAATGTCAAGCCCTCGTCTCTACTGTCTCAGCACACACAGCTTACAGCACCCTCCTTCTTAGCACCTCTCTACTATCTAACCATGGGTTACAACTCATTCATTCACTCTGCTTTCTGTCGGCTTCCCAGGCATTGCAGACTCTAGATGGCACAGATGTGTACCCACTACTGGATCCTTAGTTGCTAAAACAGTATCCAGCACCAACTACAGGTTTAATATTTGCCTAAGGAGATGAATGAGCAAGCTTGGAATGAACAAAACAGGGATAGAGATTATGATGGAAAAGGTTAGCCAGGAACAGCTGACTGCAGGCTGAGCATGGCAGTTCAAGCGTGTCATCTCAGCACTCAGGAAGCTGACACAGGAGGATGGCAAAAATTCAAATTCAAGGCCAGTCTGGGCACCATAAAGCCAGCTTGGGATACAGGTAAGACCCTGTTTTAAAAAACAAAACAAAAAAAAAAAAAAAACCCACGCCAGGCGGTGGTGACGCATGCCTTTAATCTTAGTACTCGGGAGGTGGAGGCAGGTGGATCTCTGTGAGTTCGAGGCCAGCCTGGTCTACAAGAGCTAGTTCTAGGACAGGCCCCAAAGCTAGAGAGAAACTGTGTCTCAAAAAAACAACAACAAAAAAAAGGACAACAAAGAAACAGCTAACTGCTGATAAAAATCTATATCTCAAGCTTCAAGCGAAGCCTTGCCTACCAGATGTCATCTCTAGCTACTCATTAGCATAATATCCTCTTTGCAAACTTCACGCTGAGACTCGGGAGGGAAGGTGTGGCTCTTGGAAAACAGTCCAGAGGCAGGGTTGCCCGGCATGTGCTGGGCCTACAAAAGCCATCTCCAACACCACACACAAAAACATAAATTAGCTGTTCTCTAAACAAAGCTGTGCTATACCAACCATAAGTGTATTATTTTATAAAAAAAAAAAAAAAAAGAATAAAACGAGCACACAAATCAAAGCTTCCAGCTCATCTTTAGTGACGGCTCATCACTGGTTCCCTGAGGTTGGGAATGACAGCAAAGAAACAAAAGGGGACAGTTCTGAGGAATGAAAATGCCATTCCCTCGGAGGTGATTACATGGCTGACGGCCTGTCAAACCTAAGGCTATAGATAAAATTCAGGGGACAGAGCACCTGACAAGCATGAAGGACTGGATCCCTAGCGTGACACACATGAGGATTACAAGTTCAAGGTCTACACAGCTGAGATGAAAACCAGTCCGGGTCACGTCAGACACTGTCTCAGCAAGAAGAAAAAATTATCTGTTGTACAACAGTCACAAAGAGATCTTGGGTAATGAGATTTGATCTGAAGAGCTAAGAAAAAGGGTTGGGGATCAGAGAGTTAGCTTAATTGTAGAACACTTGCCTAATATGGCCAAGGCCAAGGTTCAATCCCCCAAACCTTAAAAATCTTAAAAAAAAAAAAAAATGAGGGCATAGACGGTCAATGGCAAAAGGGAGGAAATCATAACTCAAAATAGGAGTGGAAAAGATTAAAAAAAAAAATCAGGCCACCATCCTTTAAGCCAGGACTCAGGAAGCAGAGGCAGGCAGATCTCCCTGAATTTGAGGCCAGCCTGGTCTACATTTGCAGTTCCAGGACAGACAAGGATATACCATGAGACCTTGTCTTTAACAGCAACAAAAATTAACTGACTAGTCAGGAACTCTGCTCCGCTGGAGAGAGTGCTCACTGGTTAAGAGCAGAAACTGCTCTCTCAAGGATCCAACTTCAGTACCCAGAAGGCACATCAGGAGGCTTACAACTTCCAGCTACTCCAGCTCCCGGGGTTTGGACCTCTGGCCTCTGCATGCACCGAAATGCAGGCGAACAAGCCCTCGACACAGACATAATTTAATTTTTTTAATTAAAAAATAATCTCGGTTTCTCCTCATGAAAATAAAAGCCCCAAAGGCATTATTTCCTAAGACATACTTTCTGGAAAGTTAGGGGCTGTGTTCTGAAATGGGTTCGTGGGGATTAGGTCGTTCAGTGTGACCTTGGGAGTTCTCGGCCTCTGCGTGCCTCAGTGTCTCTTGCTGGAAAATGGGTCGATGTCCTGGCACGTGCTCTCGCAGACTGCATGTGCTCCCTGCCGCCCGAGGCTGAGCCCGCTCCCGCCTCCCAGGAGGTCCCCCCTAGACGGTCGCGGTCCCTGCCCGGGGCGCGACGGCGGCGCGTGGTCCCCAGCCCTCACCCCGGCCGCCCGCCGCGGCCTCCCGCCTCCCAGACCCGCACCTCGCTGAGGAAGCGGGTGATATCGTAGACTCGCCCGTGGATCACCATCCACGTCTCCTCCTCGGTGTTTCGCTTCGCCACCTCCTCCAGTCGGTAGTAGGTGACAGAGGGGTCGCAGCCCTCGTCATTCCCGCCGCTACCGCTGGCCTCTGGGGTCGCCATGGGTCCGGGTCCCTGTCCACCGCTATCCGGGGTTCGCCGGGTAACTTCTTTCAGGCCTGGCCCGCGCAAGGCCCTCGCCGGCTTCCGTAACCGGGTAGAGCCTGGTCCGACGCCTAGCTAACCAATCAGCGCCGTCCAGCCCCTCCAACCTTGCCAATCAGATACCGTGATTTTGGACCCGCGCCTAAACGTTGCCGGCTGACAGCTATCAACTCAAGATAGGATTCCGTTCCCTTTTCCCTCCCCTCCACCTTGGGTCCCCCGAGTCCCCGGAAGCTCGATCTTCGCGACCAGAATTGCAGCCCCGGGGTGACGGCTTTGCTGTCTCCAGACTTGGAGGGAGCCGGTGACTCTTGGTTCCCCTTAAGCTCCAAACGACTCGACAATAAAAATGGGTGTGATGACCTCTGCCTTCCTTGTGGAGACGCTTGACACACTAAAAGGGAGTGTGTAAAGAAAGGTCTGCGCACACGGCCGTCGCCGTGTCAAGTGCAGCAGGCTTTGGACACCAGGGCTGTACCCCAAGTTTCCTCCACAAATGACAAAGTGATCTCTAATAGAACCTTTCAGTGACCACGGCCTGTCTAGACTTTTAGTTTCTAAAGGACCTAAAATAGGACTTACTCTAGATGACCCCTGCTAGACGTCTAGGTATTTCGGAACGCCAAGTTAAAGTTCAGGGTTGTGAGCCTCTTATCTTGAATCGCCTTTAAAACTAATCGACTGTACAATCTCAATCACAATCTCAGAGAACGTAGACAATGAAGAGGACCCCAAGAGAGACATGCGTGGATCTAATCTACGTGGGAAGTAGGAAAAGATCTACTGAGTAAATTGGGAGCATGGGGACTATGGAAGAGGGTAGAAGGGGAGGGGAGAGGAAGAGAGGGGAGTGGAGAAAATTGTATAGCTCAATAAAAACAATAAAAAGATCTAATAGGCTGATCATCCTGAAATGTTTTGATTGTATCACTTTACAGCCTACCCCTCGGGACTGTCCATAACCTATTTGCAATCTCTTTCACTAATATTTTACTTAATTACCTATTTATTTTGACATATGTCACTATGTAAGCTTGACTGGCCTGGAACTCACAGAGCTCCACATGCCTCTGCCTCCCAGGCGCTGGGTTAAGAGTATGCGTCATCATGTGTCATGTCCACTTTCCTACTTCCTAATTACACAAACTCTGGGTTGTAGTCTGCTCTGATGGCCGTCATAAAATACTGACCAAAGCTAGCTTGGGGAGGGAAGGGCTTATTTGGTTTATAGGTTAAAAGCCATCGTCCAAGGAAGTCAGGAACTCAAAGAAGGACCTGAAGCACAGACCAGAGGACCTGCTGCTTGCTGGCTTGCTTCCAGGCTCTTGTTGAGCTTACCTTTGCTGTGTAGCCCAGGCCCACATGCCCAGAGATGGTGCAGCCCACCATGGCACGGGCCCTCCTCCATCAACTAGCAATCAAGAAAATGCCCTATAGACATGCGCACAGGCCAATCTGAGGAAGGCCAATTCTTCATTTAAGGTTCTCCCTCTCTAGACCTCCACTCCAGGGTCTTCCACAACCACTAAATTCAAACATTTAGATGCATTTCAGGGCTTGTTTTTTTTTTTCTGAAAACGTACTACATCACAAATTTTAATTAATGGGGTTTGAGGGAGAAGGTCAACATAAGAGGCAATGCTCTTTGTTGTGTTTTGATTTTACTTTTCTTAGTTTGTGGGTAGGTGGTTTACAAACGTGCATGTATGCCCATGCATATAGGCATGCATGCGGAAACTGGAGGAGTTTGACAGATGGCTTCTATATTCCCCTACATGCTCCCTTGAGAGAAGGTCTCCTACTGAACTTGGAGCTTGTTGTCGTCAGCAAGCTCCCAGGACTGGCCTGCCTCTACCAACACCAACCCAGAACTGAAATTGCAGTTGTATGGGGGCCTGCACGGCTTTTAATGTGGCTATGGGGACTTCAACTTAAGCCCTCACATTTGCTCAGCAAGACTTCTTCTTACCCGTTGAGCCCCATTTGTGACTTTTAACATTTTTCTTATTGGTGGGGGCTGCCTGTGGCAGTCAGAGGACAAGTTGTAGTCAGTTCTTGCTTCTACCACACAGGCTCCAAAGACCAAACTCAAATCATCAATCTCAGTGGTAAGCACTTTTACAAGCTCAGCCATCTCTCTGAAGCTCTCTGGTTCCTATCTTTTATTTTGGTTTTGGGAGTTTGGGGTGTTTGGTTGGTTGGTTGATTGGTTTGGTTGGTTGGTTCAGGGTCTTATTTAGCCCAGAGTGACCTCAAACTGACCATGTAGCCAAGGGTGACCCAAATTTCTGATCCACCTACCTTCACTTCTCAAATGCTAAGAGTAAATGTGTTGTCATCACCTCCAGCAAGAAACAAACTCAGGAAGCTGAAGGTGTAGAGATAGAATGCTTGATTAGCATACCTGAGGCCCTGGGTTCAATTTCCAGCTCTGAATAAAAGGAAAAAAAATCCAAAAAACAAGCTCTGAAATAAACGAAAACAAAGACACACAGATTCAACAGATACAGTATGCTGCAAACGTGTGCGTGTGCGTGTGTACGTGCGTGTGAGTGTGTGTGTGTGTGTGTGTGTGTGTGTGTGTTTAATTTCTGGAAGAGATTATTGCTAAGGGCAGTGAAATCCAGCTCTCTGCCCATATTTGATCAATGAATGACTCAAAACGAATCTCAGTACACATGACTCTTCTGAGGATTCTCTGCCTCACATGAGAGAGCAGTAGGTTCAGATAGAGAGCCAGAAACCGTTTTTAGCAAGTGTTTCCATTGGTCCTCATGAAGTTTGTCTGTGAACAGTGCTGAAAAACACTGAATTTTAAATCATGATAAAAATACCTTTATCATTCACATGGTGACTTAGTAACGTACTCTCATCATTTCCTTTCTACCTCCACACAGGAAGTAAGCCTAATGGTGTTTTCAAAGACCTAGAGAGAATAGATTGGGAGAACCTCTGGCAAAGCGAGAGGTTGAAGGAGTTCACCTGGAGTCCTTCTGAAGAAAAAGTGGACCAATCAATGGTAGCGCCTGCCTTTAATACCAGCACTGGGGAGCAGAGGTCGGTGGATCTCTGTGTGTTCAAGGCCAGCCTAGTCTACAGAGGGAGTTTCAGGAGAGCTAAGGCTGTTACACAGAGAAACCCTGTCTCAAAAAATTAATTAATAAAAGTAGAAAGTAGATATGCCTTTAGAGTCTGGGAACTGGAGTTGGGGTTTTAAGGGCTGTCAATAAGAGAATGGTTAGGGCTTCCTCTAGCAACAGGGACCCCCACAATCTTTCTCAAAGGGATGTGGATAGATGAGAGGACTTCAAGCTGGGAGACTGGACCCTCTCTGCAGGATGACAAGTTAACAGACAGACTTGAGCCCCAGCGTGGAAATTGTCCTCTCTGCCTCAGGCCTCTCTCAGACAATGATCAATGTGAACCGAGGGCAAAGGAGCCTTCTAGAACGTGTTGCAAAGTGAAAAGCCCTGAGGTGGAGATGAATATTCAAAAGTGATGGGAGAACTGGTCACCCATTGCTAAGTAAACTTATTAGATGAAAAGGTTTGGGGCGTGGTGGTGCCTACCACCATTAATCCTTGCACTCAGGGGGCAGAGGCAGGTGGATCTCTGTAAATTCAAGACCAGCCAGTGGTCTACATAGCAAGTTTCAGGCCAATGAAAGCTACACAGTGAGACTCTCTCCAAAATAAGGAAATGAAATAAAAATTATTATTTAAAGGTTTTTTTTTTTTGTAATTCCAGCAGATAAGTTTGCAAAGCTGTGCAGTGACTCCCCATATACTTTTCACCTGGGGTCATTAACTGTTAATATTTTTTAATTTTTAATTTCTCCCCCTGTTGTTAATAGTGCTGAACCATTTAGACATTATGATCTTTACTTCCAAATAAGTCTGCATTATCTTCTAAGAATACTAGCTAAGCCTGTATAATCCCAGTATAGTTTCAAATTTAGTGAATTCAACAATCATACAAAACTATTGTCTAGGCAGCTGTGGTGGGTGCACATCTTTAATCCCAGCACTCTGGAGGCAGAGGCAGGTGCATTTCCATGAGTTCAAAGCCCAGATGACCTCCATACAAAGCTCCAGGTTAGCCAGGGTTACATAACAAGACCTGGTCTCAATATGGATATGTATGTGCATTTAGACATATATATATACAATTTAAATTTATCTACTCAGGAGACTGATGCAGGAGAATCATTTTATCCCAAAAATTTTAGAGTTCAAGAACAGCCTGGCCAGTACTGTGAGACCCAGTCTCAAAGTATAAATATAAGACCAGTGAGATGCCTCAGCACAGAGGTACTTAAGCATAGTACAAACATATGGAGAAATAAAATGAGTAATTGTAAATGTTTTTCAAAAGCCAAAACGTCAAACACAACAGCAGCAAATCTATTATCTATTATTCTCTATCATTTTTTAACATTTTTTGAGATAAGATATCTTATAGGAAGGATGGACCACCACATCTGTCTTTGTTTTCTTTTTAAATCAATAAAGGGTCTTGAATCCACCAAATGTTTTTTGTTCCTCTGTTGGGATAATCATATGATTTTTCTTTATTCTGTTAATATTGTGAATTTAAAAAAAAAAGCATTTTGAAGATAAATTCCACTTGGTTATGTTAGTCTTTTTAAAACATTTTTTAATTCAATTTGCTTTTCTCTTCTCCTCTCTCTCTCTCTCTCTCTCTCTCTTTCTCTCTCTCTCTCTCTCTCTCTCTCTCTCTTCTCTCTCGACAGGTTATGGCAATTTGAATAAGAATGGTTCTCATAGGCTCCTCTAAGTCACCAGGGAGTGGCACTATTTGAAGGATTGAAGGATTAAAGGATTAGAAGAGTTAGGAGGTGTGGCCTTAGTAGAGGAAGTGTTTCACTGTGGGTAGGCTTTAAGATTTCAAAGGCCCATGCATAGCTCACAGCTACTTCTCCAGCACTACGTCTGTTTGTTGCCATGGTCTCTGTCACCATGATGAACTAGCCTCTGAAACTATAAGCAAGACCTTAATTAAATGTGTCTGTGTGTGTGTCTTCACAACAACAACAGAATAGTAACGAAGACACAGGTTCTCCCTATTATGTAGCCCTGGCTATCTTGGAACTCGCTATGTAGACCAGGCTGGCCTCAAACTCACTGAGATCCCCCTGCCTCTGCCTCATGAATGCTGGGATTAAAGGTGTGCGCCTCCATGTCCAGTTCC